TTCCACCCTCCTAGGTGAAAGAGGAAAAACTTAGTCAAAACACGGCGTCCCAATGGGGACGGCAGACCGAGATACAAAATTACGGTAAAGTATGCATGGAAAAAGGATTTGGGTACAAATTCAAAAGAAACAACGAAAGCAATACTTTTTCGCAGCCAAGTGCAACCATAAGCTGTTAAATTGCTTTTAAAGGATATCAGGTCCACGCAGCATTGCAGTTTACCTGCGAGAAGGAAGCGAACAACCGGTTGCCGTTCCTTGATGTATTGTATGTATTGATGTGTTGTTAACTCGTAGGGTAGATGGCTCGATCCAACGGCAAGTCTACAGGAAGAAAACCTGAAGTGGCCAGTATACGAACTACTGTAGTTTCGTTCCTTTGAGATACAAGCGAAACCTAATTCGTTGTCTAACCACAAGGGCCGGCAGGATTCGTTCTGAAGACACGATGGATACTGAGTTGGGGTATATTTAAAATGTGTTGCGCAAAAACGGGTCTCCTGATTTAATCATTCTTAAGAACATGCAAGACAAACCCGACCCGGTGCAGCACCTTCCACGCTGGTTGCGTCGAGCCGGTACCAGGGCTATAACTAGCTCCGTTATAGCTCACCTGGTTGTTAGTGGGCATGAAGTCGATGCAATCCGGGCCTCTCGAATACTATGCAAGGTTCCGCCACTCCAATCGAAAGGCCTGCGCCTCCGCACCCTCGAAACAGTTGAGGCGATCAGTATTCGGTTGTATCAACTGTTTTTGTGTTCACAAAAGAAACTGATCGAAGTTCTTAAGTTACCCTAGCCAGATAAAATGGACGATTCGGAGGCCAGGAGCAATCATTTGACTACACCATTGCCCTAGTTTGTGTTTATCGTTTACGTTTATTGCTGGTTTATGCCCCAGTTGGCAGGTAATCTAATTTCATTTGAATTGATGGAAACCACTGTTACTTCCATTGCTCTTGTACCCATATGATTGTAAAGGACTGACGATGAATTTATCGAAAACAATTGTTTACCGATCCCTTTTTCATGATGATTAAGTGGGAATTTTTCAGTTACTGATATCATTTTCCTCCTTAAATCATCCAAGATGGTCCTAAACGCTAGCAAAATGTATCAAATGGGCACAAACACTTTAAAAGGTGTATTGTACGTTGAGTGACCTAGTCCAAAGCAGCTGATACTGTAAGTGATGAGTACACAGAGTGGGACGCCATTGGCTGATTTGGGATTGATCACTCAGTGAACAGTAGAATGTAGGGTTGCTTGCGTCTGGTGGATACAAGTTGATAGCGTTAAGAATGACCATAAGAGATCAATATATATATATATATATATATATATATATATATATATATATATATATATATATATGCCCCATGCTGAGGCTGATGTTGCATTATTGATGCTTCTTCACCGCAGTTGGGCTAAACCAACTTACACTTAAACTAGGTCTTTTTAAGCTGCATAAATTTCATTCCAGTTTATTTGGTTTGTTCTGCCTCCCTGAATAATGTTCTATTAACTGGCCACGTTGCTTACACTAAATCCGCTTATCCTCGGTAAGCTTGTTGCGTTTGTAGCATTTTTAAATAACTTGTGGACATTTCTTACTTATCAGGGATTTATTGTTAACCAACTTACTTCATATGGTAATTTAGCGAAGAGTTATGCCACCGTACCTGTATGCATTATTGGATTTATTTTATTTCAGCTTGTCGTTTAAAGTGAATGGCTGTTGCTTGATACCCCGGTGTGGCTGCGCTTGATGTGCATGTTGACAAGGTGCCTACCTGTCTATTACCCACTACATCGTTCATACTCGCTACAGGAGACAGTTGGTCGTTGCTGGAGGGGACGGGGTGCACGGTCCTTGTGGCCGTGCTAGGCTCAAAGAGTGGTTCCGTGCACTCGGTGTGGAGCGGACTACGGTCCAGCCACCGCCTTGTGTGTGCTTGATTTCCCAAATACAGCGTGCTTGTGTTTGCCTGTGAAGGAGTGTGGGCCGGTTCCGTTGATGAAACGTGGCTCCCATCCACATGCTTCCCGGTCGTATTCCTTCAGGTTTACACTGGATATGGGGTGTGTGGTTGGAGCTGTGGGTGGTGCAGCGCAAGCCACCCATGGTTCCTCTGTAGGCGCAGGCGTCCTGTGGCTGGCCACGGTGACAGGCAAATCCGAAACCGGATGTCAATGGCGGACGTGTGCATCGGTTTGTTGCGGTGTCCCTTCTTCCTCTCCCTAAAAAAGAACAAACTGAAAAAATTTCGAAAACTAAAATGAACAAAAAATCTCTTGTTGTTGCGCTTTTCTTATTATTATTTATGCTTTCCTATTCAGCCATGATTCCGATGGCACAATATCTGTACCACAGATTGTGTATTGGATATATATATATATATGGTTGGCGGCATCCGGTTTCGGATTTGCCTGTCACTGTGGCAAGCCACAGGACGCCTGCGTCTACAGAGGGACCATGGGTGGCTTGCGCTGCACCACCCACAGCTCCAACCACACACCCCATATCCAGTGTAAACCCGAAGGAATAAGACCGGGAGGCATGCGGATGGGAACCACGTTTCATCAACGGAGCCGGCCCACACTCCTTCACAGGCAAACACAAGCACGCTGTATTTGGGGAATCAACCGCACACAAGGCGGTGGCTGGACCGTAGTCCGCTCCACACTGAGTGCATGGAACCGCTCTTTGAGCCTAGCACGGCCACAAGAACCGTGCACCCCGTCCCCTCCAGCAACGACCAACTGTCTCCTGGAGCCAGTATGAACGATGTAGTGGGTAATAGACAGGTAGGCACCTTGTCAACATACACATCAAGCGCAACCATATCAGGGATATCAAACAACAGCCATTCAATTTAAACGACAAGCTGAAATAAAATAAATCCAATAATGCATACAGATACGGTGGCATAACTCTTTGCTAAATTACCATATAAAGTAAGTTGGTCAGCAACAAATCCGTGATAAGTAAGAAATGTCCACAAGTTACTTAAAATGCTACAAACGCAAAAAAATTACCGAAGATAAGCCCAATTAATGTAAGCAACGTGGCCAGTTAATAGAACATTATTCAGGGAGGCAGAACAAACCAAATAAAGCGGAATGAAATTTATCCAGCTTAAAAAGACCTAGTTTAAGTTGGTTTAGCCCAACTGCGGTGAAGAAGCATCAAGAATGCAACATCAGCCTCAGCATGGGGCACATATATATATATATATATATATATATATATATATAATACACAATCTGTGGTACAGATATTGTGCCATCGGAATCATGGCTGAATAGGAAAGCATAAATAATAATAAGAAAAGCGCAACAACAAGAGATTTTTTGTTCATTTTAGTTTTCGAAATTTTTTCAGTTTGTTCTTTTTTAGGGAGAGGAAGAAGGGACACCGCAACAAACCGATGCACACGTCCGCCATTGACATCGATCTTGAGCCATAGCTTCCAAGGTCTTCAACCAGCAAGTATCCGCAACTCTCGGACCCCAAGCAGGTAGTCGACAACAACCGGCCGAGGCCATCTGTTTCCTCAGCTTTTTCATGCGGTTTCTCTATGTTGTAGGCTGTCCACCAGACCGTCTCTTCCAGCCCTGTCCAGCAACCGCAAACAACGCACGACGCGGGTAACACTGGACAGGCATGCGCAATACGTGTCCCAGCCACCGCAGTTGATGCAGTGAGACGAGATCCTCGAGCGAGTGGCTTCCTCGTCCAAAGACACGCTGCCTAACTTCCACATTGCTTACGTGGTGCTGCCACCACACACGGGCAATGGACCACAGACAGCGGTGCTCGAAGACGGATAGCCTGCGCAAGTCATCTTTACGAATGGACCAGGTCTCGCATCCGTACGACAGTACAGTACGAACAGCTGCACAATAGACCCGCCCTTTGATGGAGAGACGAATGTCGTGGCGGCGCCACAAATGCCTCAGCCTAGAAAAAGCGAGGCCTGCTCTCAAAATGCGCATCGAAATCTCGTCTCCAACAGCAGCGCCAGCAGTGATGCAAATTCCCAAGTAGACAAAGCTCTCCACAACCTCCAGTGTCTCACAAGCAAGCGTGAGTGCAGGCAGAGGCACCTGCCAGTCTTGAAAGAGAGCCTTGCATTTGGATGGCGAAAAGTACATACCGTACTTTGATGCTTCAATCGCCAAGCGGTTTAATGAAATTTGGACGACGTGTGGATCGTCACCCAGCAAGGCGATATCATCAGCATAATCCAAATCAACAACTCGACTACCTGGGAGGAGCTCAACGCCAGCGTTCAACGAATCGTTCAGAGCGTTCTTCAGGACATCCTCAATGGCAAAGTTGAATAGGAACGGAGAGATAGGGCATCCTTGTCGAACTCCACTGGAGACCACAAAGGTAGGCGAAAGCATGACATAAGCCCTAACCCTGCCCGAGGTCAGACTATAGAGAGCGCGCAGTATGGAGACGAACTTCTCGGGGACACCATTCCTCAGTAGGCAATGCCACAGTACTGTACGATCGACAGAATCGAAGGCTGCACGGATATCCATGAGAGATCAATGGAGAAACATGTGTTCCTTAAGGAGGAAGTTGAAAGCGTTATGGATGTAGAGTAGGTTGAGAAAAGGTATGGTTCAGATGAAGCATTCAGGATCCGTGCAGCGAACGGATTCTGAATGTACAGCAACACTACTCTTTTGAATCAGTGCGCATGGGAAGGGCAAACTAAGTTAGGTTTCCGTACAGTTTCGTTAGAAAAATAAAATCCGACTGGTTAAACTGCAGAAGCAGCTGAGATCTAGACAAAACAAAACAATCTAAAGGGCCGATGGACGATAGCGAGGAAGGGAAGTGATAAGTGAGCGGTCAACGAGAGACTGCACTAGAGACTAACACAAAAAAGACAAAAGATAGCCAGATACGTGGACTAGCCAGAACGGAAGAAGGGCTGAAATACACAATGGAAATGGAATGCAGCTGGCTAAGTGAAACTTACCTTCGATCACCGTAATACAGAAACCGACATGCCTTGCCAGCGGACGAATCTGACTGTGGAGAAAGCAAAGAACGGAGGAACCGGATGATTTCATCAGGCAAACCAACCTGAATGGAACAACAGGAAACACCATCTACTATATAACAGAAGATACCATGTGTCAAGGTAGTTCCGTGTACTGAGGAGCAGGGGCCTTTGAATTGTGTCAAGTGGTCAAAACACAGTTTAGTGCTGGTATACAATCAGTACAATACAAGCGAAGAAGCGCCGGGCAGCCGTTTGATTCTGTTCGGGAACGGCTGCACTGTGCATCTTCATTATCCGAGCACCTTGCAATGCCATAAAACGGTACTGTGGGTTGGTAGGGACCAACCCTAGCCACAATGTGCTGCATAACGATGAGAGTTGTGTTGAATCAGAATCGGTAGGGTGGTCATGTGACTCACGTGCCAACTGCCAATGTCGTCAGCGACAGGTTGCAGCCTCAAGCTCGGAAAGATTCCGTGGAAAAGCTCGCCATTTAATGGTGGCCGTTCGGCACTATCCCGCATAAGGACTGAATCAGTGGGGTTGCGCTGAGTAAAATTATAATTTCCGCATCGAAGGTGGTTGGAGCTAGTGGTTCGGATTGAAATAGCCAGATACTGGTTGTGTGCTCCACCACACTTCGGTGCAGCCGAAACACATTTGTGCTGGGATAGCCTCAGCGCTCTGCTGCAGGACACAAACCCCGAGGAGGAGAAAAAGGCCGCGCGGAAAGAGGCAATGGGCAAGTAATTAGATAGTGGTTACTAGGGACGTTATGAATTTCGTACAAGGAAGGAACCTCGGAGGCAATTCGGAGACAGAGAGAGACAGAGAGAGAGAGAGAGAGAGAGAGAGAGAGAGAGAGAGAGAATATAATGGTGATTTGCCAGAGGGGCCAAGTACTAAGTTCAACGCTGGTGCACATGAACGACGCTTCTACAAAGGACACAACTTGCAACTGCGTCGATAAAAAAATGTAAAGATAGTGCACATGCGTACAAAGGCCAAACAGCAAGGGAGCTACGTATACGAATTTCAGAGCACGAAAGGCGATTTAACGATCACCGAAAAACGACTTTGAATACCTGGCACTAATAAGACAGTCAGCCGTAGTTGTGTATGCATAACACCCGGATCATCAGGTCAATTTAGCTAACGTGGAGATCATTACAGGAGTAGGCAAGTAACGTCCCGGTGGTTGATTGCTGAGACGGTGAAGCTCATCAAACCCAACAGCTGCGTGAATAGAACTTTCAAATGCCTGACGAGCGATCTTAATCCGGCCGGTCTGTCGAGCGTCGGTGTGCTGATCAGATTTTAAAGTGTAACTTGACTCCCCACCGAGCCTATCTGTCAATGCCATGGGGCACCAAGGAACACCCGGATTGTTCCCACTGTGCCTAAACCACTTGACGCGACATCCTGACCTGTGACTGTGATAACACCTTGGCTCATGTCTCGGCTATCGCGGTTATCGTCCGTGTACGCTATACAGTACCACTCCAAATGTATACTGATTCCCCTGACCTGACGATGCTTTTGTGGCAAAAGCGAAACGTTGCATAAGAAATACACAAGCAGATTGTTCTCAAATCACTTTGGATCGGTTCCAAATAGCTTCGAAGAGCTCGAAGCCAGCATGATAAAAATTCGTAAACAAAAGAAGGCAAGTGGTAAAGAGGAAGAACTACGGTAAGACTACAGAATGAATGAACAAAAGAGTAGTGGGGTTGAAAAAACATCGTTAGTGAACAGATGTGCAAGTATCCAAACTGCAATGCACGATTGGTGAAGGGGGTGCGGGGAGCGAAGAAACGATAGCAGTCTGCCAATGAAAGAAAACGGGTGCGCGAAATCCAAACATTTAAACACCAGAAGAGGAAAGCTGGTGCGCTAATCACAGATAAGAGGGTCACGAATGAGTTGTTGAAAACAACAAAAATTAGACATGAATTGGACATTTGGCAGTTTGATGCGGTTGTATTAAAATATCGATCACAAATATTGAAGAGGAAAAAAGGCGTTCAGAATTCAAGATCAAAGAAAGAAAAGCAGAATCAGAAGAATTAATAGACGCAAAAGTATCATTGAGTTCGTGACTGCGCCACTGCCTCCTCATTAAACGTCATTGGTATATTATCTATCTACTGCGAATATATCAGTTATGAAAGAATATTTTGACAAATTCTTTGGGCAAATCATTTCCAAAGGCACTGAGAACGTCGTACTCTATCCATATTTCGAACATAAAGGCTGAGATACTGTGCACCATCCGCAAGCTGTCCCTTTTAGGCACACAATTAAAACTATCATGCCGGTTGAATACAAATCCTGAAGAGTATGTTCGCGCAAAGTGCGATCTTAGGAAGGGAATGCGGGGCCGTTTACTCGAGTGACAACAATGCACATTCTTCCTTTTTGTCCATCCATTTTTAAAAGTTTGCTTTTGATGTCTCTTTAATTCATGTGTAGTTGATAAGGTAAACTGTTGAAAACGCAACTATCCGGATATATGAAGCATATCTCTGATATGGTCGCTACCTAGTTTTTTAGTCTGATGCAAACGGTGTTGAGGAACACGAGCGGATTCTCTGCCACGGTAAATGCGAAGAAGTAACGAAAGATAGAGCCGTCATTATCAGAGTCATTGATGCTGTCGAAAACACACGCCATTCTCCCTCAGACGAGAGTTTGATGAGTGGCTATCGACTCGACCGTTCTGGGGAATTCACAGTAGAAGACCGACGGTTATTAGATAGAGTACCACGAGTAAATGTAAATGGTCGATGGCAACCAAAACGATCGATCCGTTGGTGAATCGACATATCCGACCCGCATAAGCGACTAGTGAACAGCCACAGTGAATCGCAAACCAAACCGGGGGAAATGCGCTGTAGCCCGCCCGCATCGTAAGCAGAAAGCACCGTCACATCTGGGGGCAGGTGGTTACCACATGGAATCGGTCGAAAGTGAGTTCAATTGGTAACACTGTGGCTGCTGCTGCTGCAGCGACACAGTGAAAATGAGTGCAAATAAAAGTGCAGAGTGTAAAATGGTGGTGTAGTTAACCCGAGGTTATTCATCATCAGCAGCAGCGGCAACAGCAACAACAGTACATCAGCCATTTGAATTGATGCTTCGCTGCCATAAAACTGTAACGACCTACGGGACGAAGAATATTAAGACGGATGAACGGGTACCGAAGGGAATCAGCAGACACAGTACGAATGACGTATAGGAATACTTGATCGGTTATATATATATATATATATATATATATATATATATATATATATATATATATATATATATATATATACTCCTAACAGTCTACGAATAGACATAAAGTCATCAGAAACCATAGGGTAGAGAAACAGTAAAAGAAAACACAACCCAGCAAAGTCCATGGTTTCGTCAGAGGGTGAGATACTACACCGTTGCCCAAGCCGAAGTAGGGTGTTGACTTAGAGGACCCCCCCCCCCGAGCCTTTAACCGAATGGCCTACCCGCAAGGCAGCGGAGTAAATTCAGGGAATCGTGCCCATTGGGAGCCGGTGGCTGATTGCTCAGTTCATACGCATTTCGTTTGCTCGTTTGTCGAAAAGGGGCCCAATGCTCCCCATAAGTACAGCATAACTTTGCTGGAATACAATGCCTCTCCAGGATGAAGCAAGGAGCAATGACTTTATTTAGTGGCGAGTCACATCCGCCACGTCGCAGTGTTGTTAAACGGACATATGTGACTTTTTATAGGGAGAACGCTTGCCAAGCGAAAACCCATCACGTCCTGGAACACTGCCGCCGAATCATTTGCTGGAACGGGAAAATCCCGAACCACCCAGCTGGCACCACGAGGAGGTTGTTCGGTAAGCCAGGTATAGAAAAATCAAGTAGTTGGTAGTAGTAACAATAGCGGATAACAATGCATTCTTGAAAACAGTTTTGCTACCATGGGTTCCAGCCCGTCTGAAAGAGACGAAGGAAGTACACCTGATGACAGCTTGTGCATGTTCCAAAGACTAAAGATGATATCCTTCGAACCCGAACTTAAACTTAGGAACAAAAATGGTCATCGGGAACCAAGTTTAACAGTGGGAAGGTTGGGGTAGTGTCGAAGAGAAACGCAAGTAGTGATTTCAAGACAAACAATTGTTTACATTTGCACGTCATCAGGCTCAGCACATAAATAAACGGTAAAAAGCTGATATCGATGTGCGTTCGGATATCGTGTGGTGGAAGGCACGTGGAATTTCTGGGTTAAGCAAGCCGACTCCTTGCGTTCGGATGATATCCATGGGAGCTGCAGCACATGAATGCGACACTTTGGATGAATAGGTTCGGATTTGTTGATCTAATGCATGTCGCTTCCGCGGGAGCAAGTAGCCGGGCTCGCCGTCCGATGGTTCGGTTGGTATGGTGGGTTGTACATGATCGCAAAAGCAGCCATTTTGTCGATTTGGTCACCAATGCTAACCAAGTGGTTTGTGATCGCATTAAGACTATTGATTCAAGAGCCCATTTGGTAACTTTTCCTTGAACGTTTTGCACAAATTCCTGGACGCACGTCCAACGTACATAGACCCTTGTGGACAGGTAAATTGATAGAGTACTATATACTGGAGATGGTTGGGCACTTCGTCACTGAATCTAAGAACCCATAGTGACCTGTACATGAAGACAATGGCAAATTGGGTCGAGGTTTCGCAGATTTGCACCAGTCGTAGGGCACCTACTTCTGTTGTGTTATGGCTCTGAATGGAAGAGTGAGGAACAGGTGTTACTTTTCGACATTATGCCTTGCTACTTTCGAACTGCTTCGCTTCATGCGAATGTCAACGAAGCGTTCTGGGTAACTGTTTAACAGAGGCACTGCCGTGATTCGCTTCAATTCGTCCGCGATGACGTCCTCGCTCAAGATTCGGTATACACGGTTTGTTGAGGAGTAAAGCAGCGACCTTTTACGTTTGAGTGGTGTAAAACATTAGAAATGTATGTACTGACCTGGCCGGTATGGTTTTATGCATAG